GGTGGCCCGGGGGCGGGGGTGGGGGGGGGGGGTCACTGTCTGCGGAGGGTCCCACGGCTGCCCCGGTCTGGTGCTCGCGATCCGGGGACCCCAGAGGCCCCTTTGCGGCACGCTGTTGTGTGGGGCCGTGGGGCCCGGGGGGGTCCCTGGGGAGCCCAGGGCTGCAGCACTAAGTGGGGTGGGTGTCTGTCCCATCCCAGGGTGGCACAGGCCCCTTGTTGCCCTGCTGACCCTCTCCATCTCCTGCCTGCTGGCTGTCCTGCAGGGCCATCGGGTTACCCTCTGGCATCGTGCTTTTCCTCCTGGCCAAGCAGCAAGTGGACAAAAACCGCCTGGAGCAGCTCAAGATCCGCCGGAAGATGATGGGATCCAACGAGGGCGAGTACGAAACAGAGCGATACAAGAGGGCAGTCAGGGGGGCATAGCCAGGCTGCCCCCTCAGAGCCGGACACCACGGCAGGGACAGGCCGTGCCCCTGAAGGGACTGTCCAGGGACATGCCTACGTTGCTGGCACAGGGCACTGGGGCCTGCTCTCCCCTCTCCAGCACGTGTGGCAGGTGGGGAGGGCTGGATGGGGGTAAATAAACCTCCCCCCTCGGGTATGGGGAGTGAAAGAGCCCTGTACCACTGTCATCACTCCCTCTGTGCTCAGCCCCAGGCTCTGCCTGCTCCTCCTTCCTCTCCCACGGGAGTATTTCCCAGCTGCGCTGACTTGCCTGTCACGGGCACCCTTCGCAGAGTGTGCTGTGCGCAGCCAGGGGCCCAGCCCTGCCTGCGGGGGTGGGAGGGAAAGGCATCTGGGAGGCCACCGCTTGGAACAGCTCAGCCTTGACTTTATCTCTACAAGGCAAGGTTTGTGTTGCTGTGAGCTGCTGCCCCTGCTGACGTGGCTCAGAGCTTTCTGAGGGAGTTGCTGCTTGCTCACCCTCCTCCTGGTGCCCGCTCAGCCCCATCCGATAACCCCCAGCCCTGCTGGGAGAGCTGAGCCTTTTGGCCAAGGTGTTCTGCGAACTCCAGCTCCTCCCAATCTTGGGGAGACCTGGGAGCTCAATATGGTGGGTAGGCGTTGGCATCCTGGATGGGCTCACCCCACAAAGCAGACTCAGCTGTTTGGAAAATTAAAGTGTTTTATTTAGCAAGTGCAACTTTGGCCACATCCGAGGGCCAGGCGGGCTGCTCCCACGGCTGCGAGTCCTTTGTAACACAAGCTTTGTACAGATGTCCCCAATCCCACTGCAGGGGTCCTGGCTGCCTCGGCCCAGAGCAAGCACTGCCAGAGCTTGTGGCAGGCATGGC